AGAGAGAGTTTAATTTTAGAGTGTGTGGGGGAAGGTAGAGTCCCCACTGAATAGTTTTCATCTTGTCTAGATGGGTCTGGTGAAAGGAGATGGTGATAGGATTCAATAGTGAGTAATTGTTATCATGACCAATTGTGACTGTCACAATTGTAAAGGTAGAAGTTTTATAACAAAAACAGGGAGTATTTAATATAACAGTCTAGAAACAGAGGACCTTAGGACCATCAAGAGAGAAGAGCACAAGCAGAGTTCAGGACCGTATCCAGAGAAGCAGCAATGCCAGACACAACATAGATGGGGACAGAGATGGGGACATGGAGAGAGGGAGCAGCTGAGGACTCTAGATTCATGGAAAGAGAGGGACTGAGTGCTGGCTGCCAGGAGGCAGGCTTGCAAAATGAGCCCTTGGTTGGTTAAATTATTATATATTGCTGAGTGTTTTTGTGTACATACCCCCCCAAAAAAAACAAAAACAAAAACAAAAAACCAGAGGGAATGGAAGCAAATACTGTTGAATGATGTTGTACAGAGGAGATTGTAATCATTGCAATGAAACAATAGTGTAAAGCCTGTGTTCTCCCATGTAAACTATCACTCAGTTCACTAAAAACTTTAATAAAAATAAAAAAAAAAAGATTGTCAGCTTAAATAGGACAGTGGTAAATCCAGATGAAAAATGATAGCTTTCTTAAGCATTTATTTTACCTTCTAGTCTGAAAGAAATCCAGGCTAGAAATGGTGGACAAGGATGGTTTGAAGTGGGGAGAAGTTGTCTCATCGTGGATATAATTTGAATCCCATTATTTCCTTCCTTAGTTTCCTTTTTCTTTCTCCTCATTCTTTATGTAATACCCGAATAGCATTTATGTTTATATAGTTTTTGAGACCAGGCACTTTATCTTGATGTTATACTTCTCCCTCCCATCCTCCATCCTTGTGAAGCTTGCTTAGGTCTGGGGTCAGTTGATGACGACAGTGTTGCAAATTATGCATTTAGGAGGCACTGGCATAGTTGGGAGAAGAGACAAGCAAGTCCTAGGAAGGAGGACAGAGCAAAATCTTTTCTCTTGATTGAAAAACTCAGCCATAAGCTTAGGTCTAATACTGCTCATGCCTGGCATGCTCTGAAAATGTCTCCTTGTGGAAATTGCTCTCATCATTGGCAGTTTTATAGAGAGAAATTACACTGGAATGGAGAACCTGCAACAAAGGCAGGGAATAGTTCATTGCTGTGTTTTAGGTTGATATGTTAGCAGGGACAATATCAATCACAGTACTTTGAATCTCAGAATTAGAAGGGTTCCTAGATGACATTGAATCCCATTGTCCCCACTGTTGTGCAAATCGCTGACATAATATATGTAATCACCTAGCTTCTGATTGAAAAGCCTATAATCCACAGGTCATAGAATATCAGTGTTAGAAGTGACCTTAGAGATCAAATAGGGCAGGGACTAGAAGGATCCAGGACTCACAGAGTCAGCTTCTATCTACTCACTCTGTTGTCTCTCTGAATAAAGGGCAGTGCTTGCTGGCAGAATTATAAGAAGTGACTTTTTATATTTCTGTGTTCACCCGTCACAGACTGTCTGGGTTCATCTACCTTTCAGTCGTAAATAGTAATGAGCCCTTTTTGTTTTTAATCCAGGGGTTGCCCTGCTCTCAGATGTGTATCCTGAGAAAATCTTGCTTAGCCTTTTGGCTCAGTACGACAGCAGTAAAGATAAGCACTCGCCAGAGACCAGAATGAAGGTTGGGGAAGTCCTGATGCGAATTGTCAGAGCACTGGGTAAGTTTTCTTGTTCTGTTAGTCTGGAAAGGAGCCAGGGGATCACTATGGCTTTTGAACCAAAACCTGTTCATCAAGAGGCTTGTTGTGAAAGCACGGTGAAGTCCGTTTAGGTGCTGAAATGAACCCCTCCCTGTTTAAGGTTTTGTTGTTAAGTGCCGTCGAGTCGGTTCTGACCCATAACGACCCTGTATAGGGTTTCCAAGGAGTGACTGGTAAGCTTGAACCACCGACCTTGTAGTTCTAACAACTTTGTAGTCTGGCAGTTTAGCTCACAGAGCCACACCAGGACTCTGTTTAAGGTTTTAGAACATGTTTAAAATGATGTTACCAAACCGTCCCTCCCACAGCACTCTATGTAGTTGGATTCAATAATTCATTGCAATGCCAGATAGAACTCAGACACTGTACTCATAATTATTGGCTTTATTGGGGGGAGGTTAAAAGATTACAGTTCAGGGTCAGACATGCTGAAGGCCTAGTCAGGACAGCCTCTTCTCAGCCATGCCCACAAGCAGACCTTTCTCTGTCTGATCAATGCTGCAAAGCTCTTCTAGGGCTGCTGATAAATATCCACAGGATCCACCACTTCACCATAAACCTCAGCCTGAATGCACTTGGTTCTAGCTCCATGGGTCAGCAAACGAAGCCCTCCCAATGAAGTGCCTGGAAACACCCCACTCTGCAAGCAAGCTCCTGCCCAAAGTCACTCAGTTTTACTTGTTCCGTGATCTGGGAAGTCCACTGCTTTGTCTCCTACTCTGGCTCTTGACTCTGCTGCTGCTGCTCCTCTGCCACTCCTCCACCAGTGTCACAGCTCTCTGTCTCTGGGTCGAGGAGATTCAGTGCTCAGGGATCTTTGGGTCCAAAGGTTGCGCTCCATTCCTGGCTCTTTGATTGAAGTGAGATTCACCTCTCCTGAATCTGAGATGGCTCCTTTTATACCTACATTAGAGTTCCTAGTTTTACAATCACAATTAGCCCTGTTAACAATCACAACTGAATCAAATAATCTATCAGCCTCTTTCCCCACCTTCTCTTACACTACCTCTCAGGGAAAAGTCATTGGTGGGAGTTTGGAAGCACTATGACTAGATAAGACATTAAATATTTCACTGCACCACAACACATACCCAGCTGCCAGTATGAGAGATTGACAGCAGTAGTGCCCATTTTCCAAGAACTGCTTTCTCTTCTTCCTAGAGCGATTTTGGGGATGCAGTTGGAGTGAATTGTGACCTTGCATTAGCAATCATGAAAAGAAGAGGAATGTTGGGGACCAAAGGGTGGTGGTAATGCTTGTCAAAAGTCTACTGCATGTCATATGGCTGGCATATGTAATCTCATCCAATTTTCTCAACAAGTCATATGAAAAGACTGTGGTTAGACCCAATTTATAGGTAAGCAAATTGACTCAAATACATTCAGTAATTTGTTCAAGACTCATTCCGTTGGTAAATGGTTGACACCTAGAATTGAACTCAATCAACTTGAAGGAAGTTGCTCTTTGCTAAGAAAGCTAAGAGTTGTAGATAAGAACATAGGTTCTAGAATCACACAACCTGGGTTCAAATCCTAGACTGTAACATATTAGCTTTGTGATTATGGGATACTCTTAGCTTCCTGATACCATAGTACCCTCATATATAAAATGGGAGTATTTGTAGCACTTACCTCCCAAGATGTTTAAAGGATTAAATAGAATAATATTTGTTTAGCATACTTCTTGGCCCACAGTAGAGACTCAAGACTTTTGGTTTTTTTCCTCAACAATGAAGAAATATCCCTTTTTTAAAGAAAAAGAAGTACAGCAAGACTGCTCTTTATGCTTGTCTGTCTTTTGAATCTTGGTTTCCCTTGCATACCATTATAAAATAGACACTTGAGAGGGAGAGAAAGGAATAGCCAGAAATATTGCCTTAGAAAGCTTTTAAGTCTATCTTCTATGTATAACTAATTGGAATACCTAAAATGGGACTACAGCTTTCTCAGTGAAGGCAGCTTCTTTTGGAGCCTCTACATTGCATAAGACCATAGGTGGAATCCTGAGCCCCATCCAGAATCTTCTGAGGTGGGAAATTACCACTGGAAAGGACAAGCAGACCAGCCTGGAGCAGCCAGAAGAACATAAGATACTTCTTGAAAGAAAGACCAACAGGAAAAATACAAAACAATGACAGCAGTCCAACTGACTATTACAAGAATAAGCAAGTTGCTTGCCCTGGAGACATCAAGGCAAGTGGTTAAGTCCTCTCAGGGCAAACCCCCTTCCAAGACTAAGACTCAGTGGGAATACAGAGAGCAGACATGCTCTCTGACTGGTAACCACGTTGGTCACCGATAAGGGGAAATGAGGGAAAAACAGCAATGAAGCTGTGAGCTAAGTCCTACCGTGTTCAATAGACTCCTGTAAACCTGAGTGGAAACCTGGTTGGCCAGCAGTATGGCAAGACCTGGGGACACCTGGGCCCAGAGTCAGGGACATAGCCACAGAGGACTAGAGTAGAGAGTGAAGTGTCGAGCTGACAAGAGAGGGCACAAGAACATCCACATTTGCAGATAATTGAAGCCAGTTGACCCAGTTTCAATGGCTGGATGATCAGAACTCAGCTAGAAGAAGAAAAAAAGAGTAATCTGATACAATTTGATGAACTTGACCTACACCTATGTATGCAGTAGCTCAAAAGAGGGAACAAATCTTTACAGTGAGGATCATTCCCACCCCCTCCATACACAGGCTAGACAGGGATGGGCAACTTGGACATTGGCTACCCAAAATGAGGGGCAGCTACAAAGGCAAGAAGTGACTGGCTTACAAGCTTTCAAGAAAGAGCCTAGACCGTGGGCCCAAGCGTTGCTGACCGTCCAAACCATAGGCTCTGAGGATCAGACTTTAGCCACCTAGCAGACATAGCAAAATGTCCCTTTTCTGATTATTCAGTTATGCTGGTTAGTAATTCCATACATGAGCCCTGGATACCCACAGATAAATGTAAAAACCTTCCCTAAAAGCCGAGACTGTAAATTCCAAAAAGGCAAAGTTTTCCCACCCCAAAAAAGCTAAAGAGGATATAGAGAAACTCTGTTAACTGATGGTATGTGGAGGGGATTATAATCAATGTAATGAAACAAGGTATATGAATGCTTGAATGTGAAACCGATGATGTGCCCTGAAAACTTTCACTCAATCCACAATAAAAACCTTAAAAAAAAAAAAGAAAGAAAGAAAGAGCCTAGATACAGAGGGTGCAGAGGAGGATAGAGTCTCCACTGAGTAGTATCCAATCTGTCTGGGCAGGGCTGATGAAAGGAGATAGGAATAGCACCCATGTGGCACAATAGTGAGTAATTACTATCAGGACTGACTGTAAGGGTTGGAAATGTAAAGGTAGACATTTTGTAGCAAAAGGAGGGGAGTGGTTGACTTTGCAGTCCAGGAGCAGAGGTCCCTGGGACCATCAAGGGAGAAGAGTGGAGCACGGGACCCTACCCAGAGAAGCAGTGATGCCAGAGATGGAGGCAGAGACGATGATGTAACAAGATGGAGCGGCTGGGGACTGCAGACCCAGAGAGGGAGAGGGGCTGTGTGTTGAAGACTGGGGGGCAGACTTGCAGGGTATACCTTTTGGTTGGTTGATGATGCATGAAGGGGATTATAACTATGGCACTGAAATGATGTACGATAGGCTGAATGTAAAGCTAATGTTCTCCCATGTAAATTCACACATAATTCACAGTAAAATATTAAAAAAAAAAAAAATGCTCTTTAGAAACAAGGATGGCAAGATTTTATCTCTCATGTTTGGACATGTTGTCAGAAGGGACCAGTCCCTGGGGAAGGACATCATGCTAGGTAAAGGGGAGGGTCAGCGGAAAAACAGGAAGACCCCCACAGTGAGATGGATTGACACAATAGCAGTAGCAATGGCCTCGAACACAACACTAGTGAGGATGGTGCAGGACCAGGTAGTGTTTCATGCTGTTGTTTTGGGGGTTGCTGTGAGTTGGTACCAACATGATGGCACCTGACAACAACAACAGCATTCTCACCATACATGTTCTATATCAAATTATTATGAGATATAACTATCAATGGTTAGTATTTATCTTTAAAAAATTGCCCCACTAAGCTGGACTTATTTCCTTCTTTCAGCTACACAATATATTATCTTATCAGGTGCCTCTCTATTTATCCTTGACTTTATAGTAATTCTAGTATGTATCCACTAGCATGTTACCTAAGCATAAAGAGAAGAAATGATCCCAACTTCAGTTTGACTGATTTGTCTGTGAGCTACAGGTAAACATAAATTTTTCTTTTTATACACTAGGAAAAGATTTTCAAAAACAAATTAGCCTCTGGCATCAAGAGAGCACACTGAAGTCTATCAACATTTCAAAGAATTTTATAAAGAGTCCATATAGCCATGCATCTTTTCTATTGATAGCCTTAATTTTCCCAATTTCTGGGTAATTCTTGCATCTAAAGAAGATAGAACCTGGATCTCTGACCACTTGAATCCACTCAGAAGAGTGGTGTTAAAATTTTTCTACTCTTTGAAGAGAATTAGCTTTCCATATTTGCCTTAGTGTTACGTTTGAGTCTGAAACACACTAGACATGTGTACCATTTTAAAAAGTTTCTTTCCCCAAGTAGATGTGAAGGTTAAGCTTCAAGTATCACAGGATTGACAGTAACCTCTGTCTTCTTATTGTGTGTGTCACTGGAATTGTCAGAGCTTAGAAGGAATGTATACCATACATTGTTGTTTGTTGTTAAGTGCCATCGAGTCTGTTCCGACCCATAGCGACCAAATCCTGTACAGGGTTTCCGAGGCTGTAAATCTTTACAGGAGCAGAAAGCCTCATCTTTCTCCCGCGGAGTGGCTGGTAATTTCAAACTGCTGACCTTAAGGTTCACAGCCCAATTTGTAGCCACTATGCTACCAGAGCTCCAAAATAACATGTATTTCTTCTATGTCTTCTGGTAGACCGATGCT